GCTGAGCTCCACGAGTTCCGGGCCCGAGCTGCTGGGCCCGCGCAGAGGCCCGGGGCGTGGGCGTGCGGACACCTTGCAGGCCCAGAGGTCTCCGGCCGCTGGACCTCGCCGCCTCCCCCGCGGGGAACCGGGAGGTGTCCTCTTGCCGCAGAGAAATGAGACCCGAAATTAGAACCGGGGAAGCCCTGAGCTTTCCCGCTCCTCCAGCCAGCTCATGTGTCTTGGATCGGATGAACTATAACATTAAAAAGATAGATTATCTTACAGCTCGGCTCGTTTTAGGATGGTGGGTTACATTTTGAGTTGCAGAGTATATCACAGGCGGTTAAAATTGGGTTACCTGAGGCCGCTGCCTCCAGGCTCACGTCCCTCACCGCGTGGCCGCTGCTGGGGGCGGGGCGGGGGCGAGCTTTAAAGATTTGAGTCCGCCCTGAGTTCCTGGACCAGGGCCCTTGCTCTGTTCCAGGTCCTCTGCCACGACCCCTACCTGACTGGGGCTCGAGTGCAGTCCCTTCGTGCCCATATTTCATAAACGACGTTGAGAAAGCTATGTGAGACCATTTTAAGAAGATCCATTCCTCTGTAATGAAGAAGTATGAAAAAATTGGGAAAATTGGAGAAGGATCCTACGGAGTTGTTTTCAAATGCAGAAACAGGGACACGGGTCAGATCGTGGCCATCAAGAGGTTTCTGGAATCAGAAGATGACCCTGTCATAAAGAAAATCGCCCTTCGAGAAATCCGCATGCTCAAGGTAATTGATTCACTTTTGGGGGGGGTGGGGGTGGGGGTTAAGGGGATTGAGCTCAGGGGCACTCGACCCCTGAGCCACATCCCCAGCCCTATTCTGCATCTTATTTAGAGACAGGGTCTCCCTGAGTTGAATTTAGCCCCTTGAATGTTGCTGAGGCTGGCTTTGAATCCTGGCGATCCTCCTGTCTCAGCCTCCAGAGCTACTGGGATTACAGGAGTGCACCACCGCGTCTGGCTCATTTTTTTCTTTAAAGTGAATTTTCAGGGATTAGAAAAATATTGAGTCCTGTAATGTTGGGCTGTGGGTACCTCTCCTGACTTCATGGCTTTGTGTCCTTAGTGACACAATGGAATGTCTGTGCACAAGTAACTAATTATGTAAGGAACCGGGAAGCATAACTGCTGATAAGTGGTAAGGTGGTATTCACTTTTAGAAATGCTGTGGACTATTTTATGTTTCCTTCCAATAGATTCTCTCCCACATCACCTCTAGACCTGGGTTTTCAACAGCTAGTACACTGGATAGTGTAGGAATTTAAAACAACTCACTTTTGCTACCATTCTTGAATTTATTTATTCTTGCAGTGCTGGGGATTGAGCCCCAGATCCTGAACATGCTACAGGATTTCATTACACCTTACACATATACACTGTTAAAGCATCATAGTGTCCTGTTCTCTAAAAGAAGCAAAGCGATCCATTTTTCAGTGTTTATCTCCTAGTTCACACTAGGAGAACATGATAAGGGAGAGTGGTATTCATTACAACCAAAAGTAGTTCTCCTCTAATGGAAAGAGGTTCTTTTCTAAATTTCATGTAGATGCAATCCAAATCACAGTCTAGAATGTGACATGCTGAACAGAGTGGCCTTTACCTTTGTTTTACACAGCGATGACCTCAGTGTTCTGAGCTGTGCAACTGTGTGACAAGGGAAGAGTGATCCAGGGAAGGACAGATGCTTAAAACAATGGTTATTTAAGGTTGTACACCCTCCCTTTCAGATGCAAAATTCTTGGAAGGGAGGTGAGGTGGATTTCCTCTCACTCCTGATGTACTGGGTTCCTAATCAGTCGAGCCTGTGCCACTCACGGTGGGTTCCCAGGCCTGGCAAGAACTCTCTACATGTTGTTGGATCATGAAAATAGATTGTTGGGAGGCATGCTTGAAGCAGACTTTGAAATGTTTTATGTTGGCATGGAATGAGAGCTAAGGCATTCAGGGCAGGCAGTATATTGTCAGAAAAGGTGCATAAATAGAAAGCTCAGTATTTTGAAGGAACACAGGTAGAAACCCCAAAGTCTTGGCCAAGATGCCTGGTAGGTATTAACAGGCCAGAGGGACAAGGGGAGAGAAGAAAGCTGGGAACAAGTAGGAAGGGGTGTAAAGAGTTTGCTGGACCATGGGTCTAGCCCTGGTAGAAGGGATCAGTTGAGCATAGCTGCATTTGGCAATTTTTTAAAATTATTGGTTCTTTTTAGTTATACATGACAGTAAAATCCATTTTGATATAATTATACAAGCATGGTATATATCTTATTCTTTTTTTTTAAAAGAGAGAGTGAGAGAGGACAGAGAGAGAGAGAATTTTTAATATTTATTTCTTAGTTCTCGGCGGACACAACATCTTTGTTGGTATGTGGTGCTGAGGATCCAACCTGGGCCGCACGCATGCCAGACGAGCACGCTACCGCCTGAGCCACATTCCCAGCCCTATATCTTATTCTTGTGGATGTACATGATGGTGGGATTCACTGTGTTATTTTCATATATGTATATGGAAAAATTGTCAAGATTCATTACACTGTCTTTCCTTTTCCTATCTCCCCTTCCTTCTCTTCAACCACCCCCACTTTGTGGGTTAGGTTCCACATATCAGAGAAAACATTTGACCTTTGGCTTTTGGGGACTGGCTTACTTCACTTAGCACAATAGTCTCCAGGTTCATCCATTTGCAAATGTTGTAAAGCAATCCTCCTTAGGAACGAAGAAAAATCCAATGGGGAAAAGGAACAAAATTTCCTTAACCAATCAACCGGTGAAAGGCAACCAAGGTGGGTTAAAAACCTAAATTAACAATGGGAAATAAACCGCCAAAAAAAATGAAGGGAACGCAACAATTTTTCAAAAAATTGGTGAACAAAAAAAATTCCTCCAGGAAAGGCCCGGTCAAGTCCCTTGCCCAATTAATGAACGGGGTAATTGGGGGGGTTTTTTGTTTGTTTGTTTATTTGTTTAGTGTATTTTTAGTTCTTTAGATATGATGGAAATTAATGCTCTATCTGAAGTGAAGGTGGCAAATATTTTCTCCCATTCTATAGGCTCTTTCTTCATGATCTTGTTTCCTTTGCTTTGAAAAAGCTACTACGGCAGTTTTTAAGGCAGCATGTCCACAATGCTTCACACTCTTAGTGTGGAAGGCACTTGTGAAGGTGTAGCTGCCCATTGGTAAATGCTTTTCAGGATGATAATGGTAATGAAAAAACCAATTTGCCAAAAAATTTTGGAAAAAGTTTTTTTTCTGAAAATTGGAAATACTTTTCAAATAATATTATTATATCATTTGGGGGAAAAAAGGTGTGACCCTTTTTCATGAAACAAATTCAATGTTCGTTCTTCAACTATTTCCTAAACTAAATGTAATTCACTGTTCACCAAGAGGTCCTACGGCAGTCAACTCTTTTTAGTGTTTTCAATTTTGAATCATAATTTTCCAGGTGATATAATAAGTCTTTTAAAAAAAACAAATAATTGCCTTTCGAGTTAATCTCAGTCAGTTCACAGTCTACTTTAGGGGCAAAGTAAGTACTATTCTAATGGCAATAATTAAATTTTACTGTAACATCTGAGCTCACAGCAACTATTCTACCCTTTTTCAAACTTATTTTCTGTTGTAAAGAGAAGGAAAGAATTAAATTCATTCAGTCAGCGTTTTGAGTGTGGCACCTGTGCATAAGAGAATCGACATATGTTCATTTGGCAGGTGTTTCTAGAGCTTCTGCCTGGTATCAGGTACTGTTCTTGGTCCCTGCCCTCAGGAACTCACATCTTAGTAAGGAGACACCAATAGTAAAACAAACAAACAAACAAAAAAAAAACAACAACAAAAAATAATTATATGTCAAGTAGTGAAAGAATTAAAGCAGAATAAGAAGCTAGCAGGCAAACTGGGAAGCTTGCCTTTTTACATAGTGGTTAGGAAAAGCCTTTATGAATGGCATTAGACCAGAGACCAGGAGGAAATGCAGGATGACTCACACAGCTGTTGGGGGAGAGCATTCCAGACAGAGGGCACTGGTAAGTTCACAGGCCCCAAGATAGGATCAAGTGCATGTTCTAGGCATGTTCTGATGTGTCTGATGTGTCACTGTGTCTGGAGCAGAATAATGGAGGATGTGGTAGGAGATGATAGCTAGCAGTATCAATCTAATAGAAAAGTTGATGTTGTAGGAGTGTAGGGGAAAGAGAATCTCTGGAGCTGTGACCTTGAGTTACTAACCAGGACCATAACCAAAAAGAAAAACAGCATAATAAAAGACCAGTTCAAAAACCACCTAGGAGATTACGCTGCCTCATTTTATTTGAAAATACTTGATTCTTTATATATGCTGTCCTTCATCTTTATGACCTTATAGCTGGCTCCAGGTTATGAGTGTAGAACTTCTTTCACCAGGGTATATGACATCCTCTGAAGTGCATCTGACACATGAGCCCTACAGGAAGGACTTCAACCCCTTTCCACAACTTGGGGTTTAAATATATTGGATGAGAGATGGTGTGGTCATGAGAGAAGCCAGAATACAGGGAGGGACAAAGTCTCTGAAGGAAAATCACCTTAAATAAAAAAGTCAGGCACGATGGGTTGAAGTCATCACAGGGCCTGTGGTGGGAACTGGGCACTGTTTTATCATGAAGCAGGTGAATATACTCAAACTCAGCCCAGCCTCTGGGGACTGTGTGTCCAGCAAGGAAAGGTCTGTGTGGTTCAAAACAAACACAAACCAGCCCTCTGAGAATGATTGTTTTACTAAGACCCCAAGCCTCTGTGATACCTGAACCTTCTCTCTGTGGAGTGAAAATGGTAGAACTATTGGAAGAAGAAGGAAATTATTCCATCTAGCAGTGGTGAAGAGAATCGATTATCCTAGGGGAGTAAGAGGTCAAGGATAGGACAGGGCCACTATGGATGCCTGGGTGACTTTCTACCTGTGGCAGGTGGAAGAAGGGGCATTAGATGTCAGTAGATCGATGTCAGTCAAAGGCTGGAAGCAGCTTCTAGGACACTGTGACAGCTCTCTCAAAGACAAAGAGGAGGAATCGCATTTTTCATTTGCAGGTAGGGGCTGGTGACCTAGTAGACTTGGACAAACTGCCAAGTAACATTACCTAGGGTGCAGGAGTTACACTAGTAACAACCGTAGAAGGTAGATATTGTTATCCCGTTTTACAAATGCATTTAGGATGGTTAATGATTTGCCAAATCATCCTGGTTAGGAAGCTGGAATGCAGCTGTCCCAAGTCCACGCCCTGCTGCTTTCACACATTAGAACCATGACATTACACTGGGCA